TTTGTTGGTTTTTGTTGGTTTTTTGTTGTTGAGTTGTTGGTTATGTTTGTTTAAGTGGGATGTTAGGGTTTAGGTTTTTTATTTGGTTAGTTTAGTTGGGTGTGTTTGTGGGATTTGTTTTGTGTTTTGGTGTTTGTGTTGTGGTTTTGTTGTGAGATGTTTGGGGGGGGTGCATTGTGACAATGCTGATTTGTATCAGCTCCTCTGTTAACATGAAAAAGGGCACCAGATGGGTATCCCGCTGTTTTATGGGTCCGATTGGCGTCGGTAATCCTCATGATTGATGGCGGCTTGTGGCTGACCCCATGGCTCCTTTGAAGCTGTATCTCTCCATTTGGTCAATGGTAAACAGAGTGGACAGGCTTGGTCCTGCCCTCAGTTTAACCTTACAATAGTTACGTTGGTGGTGTTAGGGTCAAATTTGACCCGTGTAGATTTGTTAGTAAAAGGAGCCTTTGTTCTTCAGAAAACTATTTTATTTTCAGAAAACACCAGTTTGGTCTGAAAAGCTCTAATGCAGTCTTTCTGTCTTGGATCTGTGACTTTGCAAATCGAGTGGGTCCAGGGGTCATGTTTGCTGATTTTGCTCTGCCTTCATTTTCATTCGGGTTTGAGACCAACATTTCCCATTCTTTGAAACAAAGCCCTGTTCTGGTTCATTCAGTCACTTCTTTATCTGAATCTGATGTTTCTTCATCTGAATCTGAGGTGTCTTCATCCGAATCTGAGGTTTCTTCATCTGAATCTGAGGTTTCTTCATCTGAATCTGAGGTTTCTTCATCTGAAGTTTCTTCATCTGAATCTGATGTTTCTTCATCTGAATCTTATGTTTCTTCATCTGAATCTGATGTTTCTTCATCTGAATCTGAGGTTTCTTCATCAGAAGTTTCTTCATCTGAATCTGATGTTTCTTCATCTGAATCTTATGTTTCTTCATCTGAATCTGATGTTTCTTCATCTGAATCTGGAGGTTTCTTCATCTGAATCTGATGTTTCTTCATCTGAATCTGATGTTTCTTCATCTGAATCTGATGTTTCTTCATCTGAATCTGAGGTGTCTTCATCTGAATCTGAGGTGTCTTCATCTGAATCTGAGGTGTCTTCATCCGAATCTGAGGTTTCTTCATCCGAATCTGAGGTTTCTTCATCTGAATCTGAGGTTTCTTCATCTGAATCTGATGATTCTTCATCTGAATCTGGGGTTTCTTTATCTGAATCTGAGGTTTCTTCATCTGAATCTGATGATTCTTCATCTGAATCTGAGGTTTCTTCATCTGAATCTGAGGTTTCTTCATCTGAATCTGAGGTTTCTTCATCTGCATCTGATGTTTCTTCATCTGAATCTGAGGTTTCTTCATCTGCATCTGATGTTTCTTCATCTGAATCTGATGTTTCTTCATCTGAATCTGATGTTTCTTCATCTGAATCTGAGGTTTCTTCATCTGAATCTGAGGTTTCTTCATCTGAAGCTGAGGTTTCTTCATCTGAATCTGATGTTTCTTCATCTGAATCTGGGGTTTCTTCATCTGAATCTGATGTTTCTTCATCTGAATCTTATGTTTCTTCATCTGAATCTGATGTTTCTTCATCTGCATCTGATGTTTCTTCATCTGAATCTGATGTTTCTTCATCTGAATCTGATGTTTCTTCATCTGAATCTGATGTTTCTTCATCTGAATCTGATGTTTCTTCATCTGAATCTGAGGTTTCTTCATCTGAATCTGAGGTTTCTTCATCTGAATCTGAGGTTTCTTCATCTGAATCTGAGGTTTCTTCATCTGAATCTGAGGTTTCTTCATCTGAATCTGATGTTTCTTCATCTGAATCTGATGTTTCTTCATCTGAATCTGAGGTGTCTTCATCCGAATCTGAGGTTTCTTCATCTGAATCTGAGGTTTCTTCATCTGAATCTGATGATTCTTCATCTGAATCTGTGGTTTCTTCATCTGAATCTGAGGTTTCTTCATCTGAACCTGAGGTTTCTTCATCTGAATCTGATGTTTCTTCATCTGAATCTTATGTTTCTTCATCTGAATCTGATGTTCTTCATCTGAATCTGAGGTTTCTTCATCTGCATCTGATGTTTCTTCATCTGAATCTGAGGTTTCTTCATCTGCATCTGATGTTTCTTCATCTGAATCTGAGGTTTCTTCATCTGAATCTGAGGTTTCTTCATCTGAATCTGATGTTTCTTCATCTGAATCTGATGTTTCTTCATCTGAATCTGATGTTTCTTCATCTGAATCTGAGGTTTCTTCATCTGCATCTGATGTTTCTTCATCTGAATCTGAGGGTCTTCATCTGAATCTGATGTTTCTTCATCTGAATCTGATGTTTCTGCATCTGAATCTGAGGTTTCTTCATCTGAATCTGATGATTTTTCATCTGAATCTGAGATTTCTTCATCTGAATCTGAGGTTTCTTCATCTGAATCTGATGTTTCTTCATCTGAATCTTATCTTTCTTCATCTGAATCTGAGGTTTCTTCATCTTAATCTGATGTTTCTTCATCTGAATCTGATGTTTCTTCATCTGAATCTGATGTTTCTTCATCTGAATCTGATGTTTCTTCATCTGAATCTTATGTTTCTTCATCTGAATATTATGTTTCTTCATCTGAATCTGAGGTTTCTTCATCTGAATCTGATGATTCTTCATCTGAATCTGAGGTTTCTTCATCTGAATCTGAGGTTTCTTCATCTGAATCTGATGTTTCTTCATCTGAATCTTATGTTTCTTCATCTGAATCTGAGGTTTCTTCATCTGAATCTGATGTTTCTTCATCTGAATCTTATGTTTCTTCATCTGAATCTGAGGTTTCTTCATCTTAATCTGATGTTTTTTCATCTGAATCTGATGTTTCTTCATCTGAATCTGAGGTTTCTTCATCTTAATCTGATGTTTCTTCATCTGAATCTGAGGTTTCTTCATCTGAATCTGAGGTTTCTTCATCTGAATCTGAGGTTTCTTCATCTTAATCTGATGTTTCTTCATCTGAATCTGATGTTTCTTCATCTTAATCTGATGTTTCTTCATTTTATTCTGATGTTTCTTCATCTTAATCTGATGTTTCTTCATCTTAATCTGATGTTTCTTCATCTGAATCTTATGTTTCTTCATCTGAATCTGAGGTTTCTTCATCTGAATCTGATGTTTCTTCATCTGAATCCTATGTTTCTTCATCTGAATCTGAGGTTTCTTCATCTGAATCTGATGATTCTTCATCTGAATCTGAGGTTTCTTCATCTGAATCTGAGGTTTCTTCATCTGAATCTGAGGTTTCTTCATCTGAATCTTATGTTTCTTCATCTTGATGTGGATCATCCACAAAACCATCCTCTAAATTAGCCTGATCAGGTGGCATTGTGAATAGCGAGTGAATAGCACTGCTGCTCCTCAGCAAGTAGGTTCTGGGTTCAAATCCCGGTGCCTTTCTGTGTGGAGTTTGCATGTTCTCCCTGTGTATGCAAAGATTTCCTCCAGGTGCTCCGATTTACCCTGACTCCTAAAAATATGGACAATAGGTAAAGTCCTCCAGCTCTGGTCCTGATCAAGCCGAGCATCAACATCTTGAGATCGCTCCAAGGACACTGTACTACAGCGACCACTGTTCCTGATAGAGAACCTAGTAGCACTTGCAGGATGGGTCAAATGCAGAGGTCAAATTTTCCTACGGGACATTAATGTGCACATCCGTCTCCTCCAAAGACTCTTCCTCCGTGGGGATGTGATCAAGAACCTCATGGACCGCGTAACGTAAAGGTAAAGGTGCATTTCGTTTATCACCATAGGGCAATCCCTCCTCCATAGTGCTGCACCCAGGACCCACCTCCAGATGTGGATGCTCGGCTTGGTCAGAACCAGAGCTGGAGGATTTTACCTATTGCGCATGTTTTTAGTGGTGGGGGAAACTGGAGCTCTTGGAGGAAACCTACACAGGCACAGGGAGAAAAAACTAAACTAAAAAACTCCCTGCTCAGTCCGGGATTCGAACCCAGACATAAGGGATTGTCTGTGTATGTATGCGCAAAAACACTGTCTAGTCAGGTCAAGTTAATTTGATTACATTAGATTTTTTTTTGTTCACAAAGTGTAAATTCTTAGTGTTCAAGTTCTCACTCTCGTGGGTTACATACTGTTCTGTGAGAAAATACTTATTCTCGTGGAGAAAGGGGTGAATGTGGGGTCACACCTGTATTGTACTCGAGTAAATGTTTATTCATGTGGAGGGGGTGGGGGAGGTCACATACTTTGATGTAAGAAAAGATTTGTTCTCTTTGAGGAAGGCGGTGGGATCAGATAATGTATGAATTTTGTATAGTTTTACCTGTTTGGTGTAGTTTTGGTTCCCAAGAAGACAGGGAGAGTGCGCCCCATCTTGGACTTGCTCACGTTAAACAAGTGCATTCCCAAGTCTGTTCTGCATGCTCTCCACAAAGCAGCTTCTGGAGTGCGTCAGACCCGGAGACTGGATGTGCTCCACAGATCTGACGGATGCCTACTTCCACGTAGCGATAGTGCCAGAACACAGGCGGTTTCTGCGCTTCGCCGTGGGGGGAAAGTGCTACGAGTATTGCTGTCTCCCGTTCGGGTACGCACTGGCGCCGCGCACCAAGTGCGTCAAGGCTGCTCTGGAGCCGCTCAGATGCGCAGGGGTCAGGATTTTACCCTACATAGACGATTGGTTAATTCTGGCCCCATCCAGGGAGGTTGCCGCGAGCCACACTCACTGGGTCCTGTCCCACATACAGCGTCTGGGCTTTGTGCTAAACAGGGAGAAGAGTAGGCTAATGCCTGATGGGGTTCCAAGTTGCACTGTCCGAGGACAGGCGAGGGAACATCACCCGCCTGGCCAGGGAGGCGTTGACTAACCCAGAGTCCCCGCGCGGAGCCTCAGGTCGCTCCTGGGGATGATGGCAGCGGCCCACACGGTGGTTCGTCTGAGCCTCCTCCACATGAGAGGGTTTCAGAGGTGGCTCTCCCGCCTCAAGTTTCACCCCTCACGGGATGGGGGGAGGCTGCTCGGGGTTTCCCCTGCCGTAGCGTCAGACATCAGGTTCTGGCTCACCCGGGCTTGATGCAGGACGGGGTGCCTCTGGTCGGTGCCGTATCACACGTGGAGGTGTTCACGGACGCCTCACTCGAGGGGTGGGGAGGGGTTCTAGGCCAGAGCTCCATAGGCGGCTCCTGGTCAGACCCGACTCGCCACATCAACCTGCTGGAGATGGAGGCAGTGCGCAGGGTGCTGCACTTCGCCCCACAGCTGGAGGGGAGGCATGTGATGGTGCGTTCAGACAACACCACAGCGGTGACGTATCTGAACAGACAGGGGGACACGAGGTCCCCCGCTCTCCATCGGTTGGCAGCAGCCATTTTGCTCTGGGCTGCGGTGCATCTTCAGTCACGCCCCGTGCTGGGCCATAGACTCTAGGTCTGGAGGCTGAGAGTCAGAACCTTGTAGACCTGGGTCTCTCCCCGTTGGTGGTGGAGCCCATTCAGGGCGCGAGGGCTCCTTCCACTGGTTCGCGGCACGGTGTACCCCATGTCCTGCCCTCTGGAGGGGGTCCTGGGGTTTCTGCAAGAACTGCTTGAGAAGGGGAGGGCTGCCGGTACCCTGGCGGTCTTTGCGGCAGCCATTGCCTTGGGTCACGGTGGGTTCGGGGGCTTTTCGGCACGCTTCCCACGGGAATGCGGCCTTGCCCACAGGGGAAGTGCTTACAGGGTTCTTAGGGCGTCCTTGATAGGAGCGGCCCTATAGCACTGCTTATGCTTCCTTTTCTTGCCCTGAGCCCGTTCACCTTGGTGGTGTTGGGGGAATCTTGGGCAGGACTCCAATCACTCTACGCTGGCCTGATAGGAGTACATCTTCATACGGCTACGCGAGGTTACCCATAGCGTAGCCTAAGGGGCATTGCACATAGAATTATTAGTTACCTAATGAAACTGTAGTTCTACGAATGAGTGCGTAGCCCCTTAGCTACGGGCCCATCAGGCAGGCCTGGCTTTGGCTGAGTTCAAAGTGGCAGGTGCAGGCCTGAGCGGGGCTATTTATAGGAGGAACTGGCTCGTGATTGGAGCATTTGATCTGAGATCTCTCTGGCGGGGGCTGGGTGCCTCAAGAGTCTACCCATAGCGTAGCCACTGCGGCCATTTTGAAACTGCCCATAGACCACGGAAGTTGTGGCTCATCAGTTAGAACGGCGGAGATATACTACGTCCGTTAATATTTACAGTCTATGGTTTTGACTTGTAAATGTCCATGAGGCGGGAGGACTCTCTGTGCCAAGGCGCCATCTTGAAATACAGTGGCTGATAAGGGACAAAAAGGAGTTTGAGCGGGAGTTACGGACCACTGTCAGAGATTGTCCTGCGAAGGCTTCCGTAGACAGGTAGATGACAATATGTGATCTCAATGCCAGAGGTGAGTAAAAACTACACAGTCCTTTAAGAGTAAAAATAGACGTGTGAAACTGTACCAGTCGGAAACGTTGACTTGTGGCTGCGCGTCCAGATCGTCAGCAGAATATCCTTCCTCCAAAAGATCGATGACTTGTCGCTTCAGACACGGCCTAGGCACAGAAACTACATCATTATTATCAAACTAATGAAACTACATCCTTATCATCAAACTAACGAGGCAGAGCTCAAGGCTGAAGATGAGGACCCCACGTCTGCCCCCCCCCCCCCCCCTCACCCTCACCCATGATTCTATTCAATTAATTTTGTTCACGCTGCAAAAAATGATCAAGTATGAGGTAATAATTACTTGAATCTAATGTTTTTAATCTTCATTTGATTCTGTCCCATTTGAGAATCTGTTAAATCTAGATTCTCTGATGGGACAAAGACATTTAGTTTTATTTCAAGAACTGCTTTGTTTTCTCATTCCAAAAAAAACATTTCTTCTATATTTTTAAAACAAGCTAAGTTGCTTTGTCCCGTTGGTAAATCTTGTTTAAGGCACAGTCAGAATGTGCTCAAATTAATACACATTTTGACAAATTTGAGCTTTTTAAAAAACTTTTCATCACTTTTTTCTTGGAGGACTTCTTAAAGCTGTCGATTTGCCAACAACAGATCAGAGAATCAAACAGTTCAAACAAATGCAATGATAAAAACACATAGAGCCGAAAGGAGCAGAGACCAATGTCCATCTGTGAGTAGATGTGACTGCTTTTAGTCTGTGTAATAACTCAGCTCATGCGCCTCTGTTGTTTACATCTCATTATTTATCCAAAAATATCCTTTATTTTATATAAATCTGGAGCGATTTTTGATTGCTTTCGTTTTATGACAGATAAAGATCTTTTCTCAGAGGTCCTGGTTCTAGACTAGTTCTAGTCCTGGACTGGTCCTGGTTTTAGTCCCGGACTGGTCCTGGTCCAGGTTCAGTTGGCTTTTGTCAGAGAAGAGCTGGTTACCATAGCAACACACGGTTTACTGTCAGTGAGCATTTGGTCTTTAGCATTAGCATTAGCAACAAACTGTTTTTGTTCTATTTCAAGTTGTATTCACCTGTTTTAGCACTTAGTATGAGTCAGAGAAAGAAAAACCCTTAGAAATGACTTGAGAAACTGAACTTTGTTGGTTAGTTTCTCATACATTTGACTGAGGGAGAGTAAATGGACTGCTCTGGGAGTCCTAGTGCTGAGTAATGTTCTGTACTTGTTCTATACATCCATGTTTGTATCTGTACGTTGTGACAATGTGCCGTATTATATTAAAAAAAACATACTCGAAAGACGTTGCAAAGTATTTGGTGACTTGGTCATTGACAAAGTCGTGGCCACAGTCTCCGGGCATCTCCTCCACTTTCCACTGACTCCCTCCATTTTCTGTCAACTCCCAAAACTCCAGCTCCTCTGCAACAAAAGGATGGATTTATCAAAAGGCTGTCAACGTTTTCAGCTACAAAGCGTCTCACCGTCTCCACTGGGATTCTTCAACAGGTTTCTGCTCATCTTTGCTCTGAAGATGCACACAAAGATAAGATAAGACTTTATTGATCTCACACTGGAGACATGTACCTGTCACATCAGGCACAGATAGAGTCTTCTTCTTCTTCTTTTTGTTGTTTAACGGCGGTTTGCAAACAGCTAAAGGAGCATTACCGCCTCCTACTGTTCTGGAGTATGGGTCAAACAGTGAACTCACAGGCTAAATCATGTATACAAAAATAAATAAATAATAATAATAATACAGAAATACACAGATAGAGTCTCTCAGATTGTGCAAAAGACAAACAAGTGTGCAACAAGTAAAAGGTTAAAAATATAGTCTGTGCAGGATATAACTATGTACAATAAAAAAGTGGCAATGGCAGTGCAGGTTTTTTCAGTCCCAGTGCATTAGCGCAGTTAGCAATGTTGTTAGCTTAGCCGTAGCACCAACTGGAACCCACTCCCCCCTCCCCTCCCTCTCCATCAAACCACTCCCCCCCTCACCTCCCCTCTCCATCAAACCACTCCCCCCCTCACCTCCCTCTCCATCAAACCACTCCCCCTTCACCTCCCTCTCTACCAAACCACTCCCCCCCTCACCTCCCTCTCCATCAAACCACTCCCCCTTCACCTCCCTCTCTACCAAACCACTCCCCCCTCCCCTCCCTCTCCATCAAACCACTCCCCCCTCACCTCCCTCTCCATCAAACCACTCCCCCCCTCCCCTCCCTCTCCATCAAACCACTCCCCCTCACCTCCCTCTCTACCAAACCACTCCCCCCTCCCCTCCCTCTCCATCAAACCACTCCCCCTCACCTCCCTCTCCACCAAACCACTCCCCCTCACAGCTCTAACCCAGATCTCCTCTTTCTCTTTCCCAGTCTGCTGACTCATTCACTGTTTAGAAAAAGCCACAGTCATTTGTATTATTCAGCAAAACGTGTGTCACCTTGAGACGGAAGGAGATCATCCAACACCAGGAATATTGACTATTTATCACAGACTAATCCTGATAAATCTACAATGATTTTAAAAATAAGAAATTGCACAAACACATGCAGCTATAACATGGCCCCGGAACATAACGGCACGTCCCATTGAAGTCACACAGAGATTGCATGATGTATATATTTATATTTATACTCACAGCTCGGGGACGGACCGTGGTTCACAGCAGGTCAGACTCTACTGCAGAGAAACAGAAGAAGAAGAGGCAGAGGAAGAGGGGGCGGAGTCTCGGAGGCTCTCACTCAGCACTATCACAGGCACCAGCTCAGCACCGGAGTCACTCTCATCTAGAACAGAAACACAGCAGAGTCCTGGACACAGGGTCAGCAGCTCAGCATGTGGACAACTGTGTTCCCTCATCAGCAACTTGTCCGGAGAAAACACACGAAAAGATTTGGAACGGTGCTCTCACAAAACATTCAAATTAATAATAATAATCATAATCATAATGACAATAATGCATCGGTTTTATATAGCGTCATTATTCATTCACCCCAAACACGGTGGTGATGTTAATCCACAGTTTGTGATGGAGAGACAGAGACAGATTCATATGAAATGTTTCAGTGAAGCTGGAATGATTCTATGGGTTGTAATGTTATGGCACCAGCTGCATCAAAGCCAGAAGTCAGAACTCTGAGGTCAAACATGGCCTGGTTAGGACATTTAAAAACATTTATAGACATTGGTCATCAGCCCCTTATGGACCAATACCATGATTTTTTTTAGAATAAGATTAAGATTAGATTAAGAGATCCTTTATTTGTCCCACAGTGGGGAAATTCCAGTGTTGCATCACAGGTTATAGAACAGAGAGGAGCACACGGCACTCGTTAAGTGAACAATAGCTATACTAATTAAAATAAAACAAAATCTCTAACTCTAGCATCAATAATACGTATAGAATCTCTATCTTGAAAATAATAATAGATGTAAAAATTTAACACTTGCATTTCTGTGTTTGAACTGAGGGTGAGGAGCTACGAGACATGGAAGGAGCTCAGAGTAGAGCCGCTGCATCTCCACGTCGAGAGGAACCAGTTGAGGGCACGTCCCACCGGGAGGAGACCAGGGGAAGACCCAGGACGCAGAGGGACTATGTCTATCTCTGGGAACGCCTTGGGGTCAGAGGAGATGGAGGAAGTGTGTGAGAGGGAAGTCTGGGCGTCTCTGCTAAGACTGCTGTCCCTGCGACCCGGCAACGGATGAAGCGGAAGAAAATGGATGGATGATGTTTGAACAGTTTGATTCTCTAATCTGTGTTGGAGAATTCAACGGTTTTGTAAAGTCCTCTGAGAAAACTACTGTTGTGATTTAGGGCGATACAAAGTTAGTAAGTTCTGTGATTGGTTACAGCAGCACGTTCCGCAGAATGAGTCTGGTGTGTGGATGGTGGTGGGAGGGGCCGATGGCACAGACTGGCTGCCTCGCTTCTGTCAGTGTGCCCCAGGGCAGCTGCGGCTACAGTAATAGTTTGTCACCACTGTGTATGGAGTGAATGAATAATGACATGTGAAGCCTTTTTCAGTGTCTAAAAAGCGCTGTATACAGTTAAATATTAGTATTATTTGATTAAACGGTAAAGATGAAGCGATCAAACTATTCATATGAAAAAAACTCACCGCTCGGATCTTAGCACCGAATCCAGGACTTCATCTTTCCACTGATTCCCATTTGGTGGAAGAATGCTTTTCTCCCAGTTGGACAAACTTCAACAGCAACAGTGACTTATTCTGTTCCAGTTTCATAAACCTAAATCCAAACTGCTCGTCTTTAGAACCTGCACCTCTCGTTCTGTCGGAGAAACTTCTGGACCTGATATTTAGACCGTGGACAAACAGACAGAGCCCTGAGCCCAGTGAGTCCTGTGTGGATCTGAGAAACCCATCAGTCTGGTCTGGTCTGTGTCCTGGAGTAGGGTTTCTCAGCTGACTCTATGTGGAGAAGTGCCAGACTATATTTAGCGAATTCTTCTCACCTCAGGCCTTCAGCAGAGGAAAGTTTTATCATTAGGTTTTTGGGTTATATTAGGTTAAATACATTACATTTTCTTACATTGAGATGGCTGGTCTCTTCAGTTCTGGTCTCTTCGGTTCTAGTCTCTGGTTCTGGTCTCTTCAGTTCTGGTCTCTTCAGTTCCGGTCTCTTCAGCTCTGGTCTGGTCTCTTCGGCTCCGGTCTCTTTGGTTCTAGTCTCTGGTTCTGGTCAGTTCTGGTCTCTTCAGTTCTGGTCTCTTCGGTTCTAGTCTCTGGTTCTGGTCTCTTCGGTTCAAGTCTCTGGTTCTGGTCTCTTCAGTTCTGGTCTCTTCGGTTCTAGTCTCTGGTTCTGGTCTCTTCAGTTCTGGTCACTTCAGCTCCGGTCTCTTCAGTTCTGGTCTCTTCAGTTCTGGTCTCTTCGGTTCTAGTCTCTGGTTCTGGTCTCTTCAGTTCTGGTCTCTTCAGCTCTGGTCACTTCAGCTCCGGTCTCTTCAGTTCTGGTCACTTCAGTTCTGGTCTCATCGGTTCTAGTCTCTGGTTCTGGTCTCTTCAGTTCTGGTCTCTTCAGTTCTGGTCTCTGGTTCTGGTCTCTTCAGTTCTGGTCTCTTCAGTTCTGGTCTCTTCAGCTCTGGTCTCTTCAGCTCTGGTCACTTCAGCTCCGGTCTCTTCAGTTCTGGTCTCTGGTTCTGGTCTCTTCAGCTCCGGTCTCTTCAGTTCCGGTCTCTTTGGTTCTAGTCTCTGGTTCTGGTCTCTTCAGTTCTGGTCTCTTCAGCTCTAGTCTCTTCGGTTCTAGTCTCTGGTTCTGGTCTCTTCAGTTCTGGTCTCTTCGGTTCTAGTCTCTGGTTCTGGTCTCTTCAGTTCTGGTCTCTTCGGTTCTAGTCTCTGGTTCTGGTCTCTTCAGTTCTGGTCTCTTCAGTTCTGGTCTCTTCGGTTCTAGTCTCTGGTTCTGGTCTCTTCAGTTCTGGTCTCTTCAGCTCTGGTCTCTTCAGCTCTGGTCACTTCAGCTCCGGTCTCTTCAGTTCTGGTCTCTGATTCTGGTCTCTTCAGCTCCGGTCTCTTCAGCTCCGGTCTCTTCGGCTCCGGTCTCTTCAGCTCTGGTCTCTTCGGTTCTGGTCTCTGGTTCTGGTCTCTTCAGCTCTGGTCTCTTCGGTTCTGGTCTCTTCGACTCTGGTTCTGGTCTCTGGTTCTGGTCTCTTCAGCTCCGGTCTCTTCGGCTCCGGTCTCTTCAGCTCTGGTCTCTTCGGTTCTGGTCTGGTCTAGGCTTCAGACGAGGCCTGTGGTCTGAGATGAGCTTTCTCCATTGTTGTGGCGTAAGGATCAGACCTTTTAAAGAAACCCATCTGCAGCAGAACAGGACAGAGAACAACAAAACAGATTAAAAATATTAAAATAAAATCTCTAGTTTTAAAATATTAAGGAAGCGATCTATAATCTACAACTTTAGCAAAAGAAAGAAGCAAGTTGTGTGTTTCCATCGGGACATGTTAGCATTGACTCAGCAAAGAGACGTGGACACATTCTGACATGATCAAAGTAACTATGGCACTGATGAGTAAAGTACATTATCAGACAATAAGAGACATGCTCCTGTAGAGTCCTTTTGAACGCACAACTTCAGACTCATACAATAATGAGTACACAAAAAGGAAAGGAAATAGTGGCAAAGAGGGTGATGGGAATCAAACCCATGCTACGATAAGCGCTAACACACACACACATCACTGGACACGCACACACACACACACGTCACTGGACACGCACACACACACACACATCACTGGACACGCACACACACACACACGTCACTGGACACGCACACACACACACACGTCACTGGACGCACACACACACGTCACTGGACACGCACACACACACACGTCACTGGACACGCACACACACACACACGTCACTGGACACGCACACACACACGTCACTGGACACGCACACACACACGTCACTGGACACGCACACACACACACACGTCACTGGACACGCACACACACACACGTCACTGGACACGCACACACACACACACGTCACTGGACGCACACACACACGTCACTGGACACGCACACACACACGTCACTGGACGCACACGCACACGTCACTGGACACGCACACACACACACGTCACTGGACACGCACACACACACGTCACTGGACACGCACACACACACACACGTCACTGGACACGCACACACACGTCACTGGACGCACACGCACACACACGTCACTGGACGCACACGCACACACACACGTCACTGGACACGCACACACACACACGTCACTGGACGACACACACACGTCACTGGACACGCACACACACACACGTCACTGGACACGCACACACACGTCACTGGACGCACACGCACACACACGTCACTGGACGCACACGCACACACACACGTCACTGGACACGCACACACACACACGTCACTGGACGCACACACACACGTCACTGGACACGCACACACACACACATCACTGGACGCACACTCACACACACACGCACACACACGTCACTGGACGCACACTCACACACTCACACACACACACACACACTCACACACTCACACACTCACACACACACACACACACACACACACACACACACACACTCACACACTCACACACACACACACACACACACGCACACTGTTGTCTACAAATCCCTGACAGAGAACTTGATGAGCAGACTCAGCAGGAGGAGCCCCAACAGCACGGCCAGGACCACGATCCACACCGGGACGGGGTACACACTGTCCGGCTTGTTCCACAGCACCGCACACACAACCTGCAACAACACACACCACCTGACGGACACACAACAGCACAGGTTTACAACTGACACACACACGTGTTAGCCTCGCTGCTAAATACTGTAACTTTGTGAGCATTTGTCTTTGAGCCTGAAGGTCATAGGTTCAATCCCACCATAGGACCTACTTCACGACTCCCACTGATGACTGCTGTCGTTGTGTCCTTGGGCAAGACACTTAACCCCACTTTGCCTGAAGCTCCCACTGAAAGATCTCAGCTCCTGCAGGAGGATCAGTGAGGGGCTGGTGCTCTGACTGCCACCCCCGACCCAGAAATGGATTAAGGGGAAGAAGATGGATGGATGGAAACAGTAATAAATGCTTAAATTTCTTAAATTGTTTTTTTGTCTTATGTTTAGAACATTCTGACTGTCTTAAAACAAGATTTGCCAATGAGACAACGCTATTTAGTGTAATTTTAAGATTTTTTCTTGTTTCTTTTTTTTCTTTTTGCTGTCTACTTTGGTAACTTTCACTTTTCTACAGTATTTAACTGTATTTTAAGATGAATTGTTGAGGACTAAAGATGGAAAGAAGCTGGTGTTAAATCTGGTGCAGCATCTTTCTATAGTGTCTCCCAAAGTGGGGTCCGCGGCCCCCTGGTGGGCCGTGAGGGTATTGCAGGGGGCAGGGCTGGACTGGCCATTGGGCATACCGGGCAATGCCCGAAGGGCCGATGCCCATATTTGGGCCGGTCTGTCTGCTTCATACAAAAACATGTTTGTAAAAAATGTTTGAGGGGGGGCGCGCATGTCCGCGGCCAACTGCTGTATGTACTCGAACGGGATTCCGCCACCTCAGCGGCCGCAGTGTTCCGAGACAGCTGAGGCCGCTTTGTAATGAGCGGTTCAAGCATCCAGCGGCTCTGAGCCGGACGCGGGAACCACGAGATCCGCTCACAACACAACACGGTGAGCGCGTAGCCTCAACGTGACCATATACCCAAGACCATAAACGCGCACAGGACCATGCATTTCTTTGTGTAATCTGTGCACCCAATAAATGCACCGCTGCAGGAAACAGTCCGCGTCTCCCCTCTCCTCTCGAAGAGCGACTAAATTAAAGCTCAGGTACCTAAATTTTCCATTGCATTAAAAGTTAATATTTGAGCCCATGTAGTAAAATGTTGTGAACAAATCAAACAGATTTAGTGACAGACAATGGCTGGCATTATGAATTTCAGACTTTTTTGACCAATTCTCATCTCTGTAATAAACAATAGTGTTGTCTGTGTCCACCTCCTTCACTCTGAGACATGTTTATTACTCTCTTGTAATGTAGACTATTGCACTGTATTTCAATCGTTGAAACTGCACATATCCTGATCCTCTAGTATTTTCTTCCATGCTGTATAAACCAGGGGTCGGCAACCTGCGGCTGGAGTCTTTTAAAAAATGTCTGAAATGGAGTGGGAGGGCTATATTTTATTTCTAGTTTGAATGTGGTTTCTGTAGGATGAAAAACATTCTTAACGTTTTTAAATGCTGCAAAAATGTGCGTAAGTAATATTCAATTTCGACATTTCTGTCAACGTAGTGCGTCATATCCTGTGAAGCGGCCCGCGTTAGGCGGCTGCTGCTGTAAACAAACCGGCATGTGCCATGGATCCCAAAGCTAAAAAGAGAAAGAGTCGATAATAAGTCTGTACCAGGGCTGGACTGGCCATCGGGCGTACCGGGCAATGCCAGAAGGGCCGATGCCCATATTTGGGCCGGTCTGTTTGCCTCATACAAAAAAGATGTTTGTGAAAAGTGTAAATCCGTTGAGAACTGTTCAAGGGGAGCGTGCGTGTCCACGGGGCTCCTGCTGCATGTACTGGAACGGGATTCCACCGCCTCAGCGGCCGCAGTGTTCCCGCATCCAGCGACTCTGAGCTGGACGCAGGAACCGCTCACAACACAACACGTTGAGCGCGTAGCCGCAACGTGACCATGTACCCAAGACCATAAACGTGCACAGGACCATGCGTGTCTTTGCGTAATTTGTGCACCCAATAAATACACCGCTGCAGGAAACAGTCCGCGTCTCCCCTCTCCTCTCGAAGTGCGACTAAATTAAAGCTCGGGTGCCTAAATTTTCCATTGCATTAAAAGTTCATGTTTGAGCCCAAAAGTAAAATGTTGTGAAAAAATTAAACAGATTTAGAGCCAGCCAATGGCTGACATTATGCATTTCAGACGTTTTTGACCAATTCTCATCCCTGTAACAAACAACAGTGTTGTCTGTGCCCACCTCCCTCACTCTGAGACATGTTTATTACTCTCTTGTAATGTAGACTATTGCACTTTATTTTTTTGTTGAAACTGTAGACATCCTGATCCTCTACAGTATTTGCTTCCACATACTGTATAAACCAGGGGTCGGCAACCTTTAGTGCTCCTCCAGTGGCTCCTGGAGCCTTTTCAAAAATGTCTGAAAATGGAGTGGGAGGGCTATATTTTATTCCTAGTTTGAATGTGGTTTTTGTAGGAGGAAAAAGATTCCTAACGTATTTCAATGCTGTAAAAATGTGTATAAGTAATATTCAATTTCAACATTTCTGTCAACGTAGTGAGTCATATCCTGTGGCGCGGCCCCGCGGCAGGCGGCCGCTGCTGTAAACAAACCGGCGTGTGCGCACGGATCCCAAAGATAAAAAGAGAACGAGTCGATAATAAGACTGGACTAAGAACAAGACTGAACATTTGCTTTCAGTCAATGAGGAAGGACTGCTCCATGTTTGCGATGTAATAGGAAGTTTTGTTGCAACACGAGGAACAATGAAGCACTAAATACCGTTCACAGGGATTACGTGAAGGATTCTTTCATACAAAATCCGGAGCACCTTTTTCAGACTTCAAAAACCTCCGCAAAGACTGTGAAAGAAAAGGCCATTAAGGACATTCAGCTCCAGCAAACTTCAGCCTGTGACGTAATCGATATGAGCGGACAGTGCAGGTGTGTGACCTTTGAGCCAAAAAGCAGATTTATTTACTGTATTTCTACAGTTGCATGAAGGCAAAAAAATGGAAGTCAAAGTTAAAGCAGAGTCATCACGTGGTGCGTCATTCTCTCCTGGACACGCTGCATGAGTGAAAACACACATTTGACAATCATGAATGCTAATCATGTATTTGTAGCCTTTACTTGGTCATTTAGATAATAGGCTAATGTAGCTAATGTAGCTACATTGTGTAACCTTCATATAAGCTTTATACAAGGCTGTTATTTCTTTGTGGCTCCAGACAGATGTTTTTAGTATTTTTTGTCAAATATGGCTCTTTGAACCTTTTGAGTTGCCGATCCCTGGTATAAACACACTGTAAAAAACGTGACAAAAACATGCCTGGGCCGGTGAGAAGGAAAAAATGCCCGGGCCGTTTTTTTGTCCCAGTCCAGCCCTGGCAGGGGGGCCGCGAGAGGTCATCAACATTTTGAATGATAAAATATTTGTCTTCATTATTTGACTTGAATAATCAAATTGTAATCATTTGTGTATTACAAAATGGGGTGCGTCATTTCCATGTTTGTAGCAGAGGCTGTTTCCCCAAATAAAATAACAGCCTATTTTAAATGTCTTCTTGGTTAGTATTTCAGGGGCCCGCGCAGAACCGTCAGATTTTTAAGGGGGCCGCAGTGTTACTGACTTTGGGAATGGCTGATCTAAAGTAACTGCAAATTGTCCGTAATAAACTAAACTCTAAACAATCTCGGGATAAAAGGTGGTTCCACAGTTTTCATAACATTTGTTGATGGCATAAAAAAACATATAAATATATCATGACCAAATACAGACTCAAACAAACCTTTGTAGAGAGCGATGGTGTGAACAGCTCAGTGCCTGCATAAAGGACCTTAAAATGTGGATGACTCTTAACTTCCTACTTCTCAACCCGGAGAAGACAGAAGTGATCCTACTCGGTCCGAAGCGCCTGCGTGACTCCCTCACTAACCAGATAATTACTCTCGATAATGTCAGTATTATACCCAGTAACACTGTGAGGAATCTTGGAGTCATTTTTGACCAAGAGCTCTCCTTCAAGGCTTATATAAGCCAAGCAACTAAAACGGCGTACTTCCACCTACGGAACATCGCTAAAATTAGGAATTTCCTTCCTAAAAGTGACGCGGAAAAACTCATTCACGCGTTTGTCACCTCAAGGCTCGACTACTGTAACGCTTTACTGGCAGCGTGCCCTAAAGCCTCTTTGAAGAGCTTCCAGCTCGTTCAGAATACAGCAGCTAGGATCTTAACAGGTACCAAAAGGAGGGAGCACATAACTCCAGAGGTGTGGACTCGAGTCATGTGACTTGGACTCGAGTCAGACTCGAGTCATGATTTTGATGACTTTAGACTCGACTTGACCAAATATAAAAAGACTTGCAACTCGACTTGGACTTTAACATCAATGACTCTGACTTTCACTTGGACTTGCGCCAATTGACTTGCAAAGACTTGCGTAACCCGGGCCATTTTTACCTTTCTCCGCATCTCTCTTTCTATCTATGCCGTCTCTGAAGAAACAAAGCCTCGCGGTAGTTGTAGCGCTCGCGCGAGAGTTCAAACGTGAGTTCCAGGCAGTTCGCGCAGCAACACTTCCCTAAACAAGCGGACTGCATTCACCGGTGGGTGTGTTGTCTAGGGGAGCTGGAAATGAGCGAGCTGCAGGTATTTATCGCGACCTAACGTCATATTTTGTTCTACAAACCGTAATTGATATGCTTTCACTACAGGCGCCTCATACAATTGAATCGACGCAGTTGTCACACTGTGTGCCGTGTTTTAAAGAGGAACTGGTGAGTCAAACTAGCGCTAGCCTGCGCTGCTCTGTTGGCTCTTTCTTATATTTTTCTGTGTGCGCGCCGAGGCCTATTATTATGAGTATGTTTTTGCTGTGCTCCTCCTGCTAAAGTTTGCATACATTAGATAGTTGTTTTGATTATGTGCACTAAGCTAGATTAATATTTCCACTATTGTTTATGGTTCATTGATATG